TGTGTGTGTGTGTGTGTGTGTGTGTGTGTGTGTGTGTGTGTGTGTGTTTACCTAAAGTTCATAGTTTTATTTTCCTATAACAGTTAAAGATTTGGCATTTATGTTTGTATAGTAATTAGTTACACGTATAATGAGAACTATACCTACTTCTAAGGTTTTCATATTACAATCGGTCCATAAAATAGTCTGCTTTTATGTTTCATTGAAAATAAAATATAAAAAAATAGAAGACGAGACGTGACTGAAGCCGAAAAAAGAAAAAATTTTGTGTACAAATAAGGAAAAGTAAATTTTATCTCAACCACGGCTATATCTTTTTTCAACGACCTTATTATCTTGCAAAATTAAAATGTACTTCTAAGGGCCTGGAAAAAGATAAGAGAAATGTAATTTTGCGAAATAATATTTTACAAGAAAGGTACCATTAATGTACTTACACTATAAACATGTGACACCAAGAGGGCTGCAAAAATAAACGTCGTAGTTTGTCCCATGTTTTCTGCGAACAAAAAAAAACAAATTAAACTTTAAACATAATGCTTATCTTAATTAAAGATCAAAACTGCTCTAAGAATTAAATCCTTGATGACTATAAAAATTAAGCAATATAAAGCGACCCGCTGGTGTCATAAAAATAATATAAGAGAGATTGAGATTAAAATACTAATTGTTATTACCGGCTTTAACGATTAAGAAAAACATTGAGAAAGACGTAATTGTAAAGAACCCTCTCGGGAAGAGGGATTTGTCGGGCTGTCATATTTAAGAGGGCTGCCGCCTGAGCGCGCGGCAGGCTCGTTAAATATTTCCTAGTTTGATATTCATTCAAGTAAGTCAATACGTGACTATAACTTCTTGAAATTCATTATACATAATACATGCTAGACCATGGTTTTTCAAAATTCATTTAAACGTTGCAATTGTTAATCCAAAGATCGCACACTTAGAAAATATTCCTTCGATCCGGCTGGATTCGAATTTTTTCTAAGTGTTCGACAAAACTAACAAACTTGTACTATATATTATAACTATTATTTTTTTCGATACTTAATTGAGATTTGACCTCACTATTGTAATCTGTCAAAACGGCCATCTTAGCGTGCCGGTACTGTAGTGGAGTAATTTCACAAAAATAATTGAATATTGTTGTGGTCAAACATCGTGACATTCAACGAACTCAAAAAAATTACATGTAATGTTTTCAAGAATTTGCAAAAAAAATTGTAGAGATATTGCACCTGTGTAATTTTGAAATTATATCTAACATGAAACTGATAAACAACGAGCATCACGAGCACGATATTACGATTCTTTGATCATGGATGAACTTTAGTTATAATTTTGAACTTAGTTATTCGGCTAGGTAAGACCAAATTCGGAAATGTAATTTTCTACCTATGTTTTGGACTTTGCCCCGGAATTTATTCCAGTGCTTTGGTATGGACAATGCAAAGAATTTTCTAATTTAAGACCAGGTGTATTGTAATTGTTTGGGACTTTATTATTAAAGTTGTAAATTACATCTATTAGTGGGATAAGGGATGATTTGTTAAAGCACTGTCACATTACTGTCATCTTAAAATTTGAACAGACAAAGTAAATGAGGCGCCATCTTGATTCCGGATTCAAAATATATAATGCGGAAAGAAGATGGCGCTCCATTCTCTTTGTCTGGTTGACAATAATATAATTATAATTATAATAATTATAATTCTTGAATAGAGTACAACTTTTTACTTAACATCTCTCGGCAATCTTCGGCTGTCATCGGATTTCTATCAGTTGCTTTTTGTACTTAGTGCAGACCGGACGCACTCAATCGACTTGGAAGTATGTAGAGTACTGTAACGTGTCTACATTATTTTCGTAACTCGTAATAGAACATAGAATAGAATAGAAAGTTCTATATTGTATAGTTATGCCCGCAAATGGGTGTATAGTTCTTGTAATACGTGTTAAAGATCTATTTCTACAATGATTTTATGTCGTGTACATAATTTACAGCTCACAAAAAGACAATATACGTAAAATTAATACATTTCTTTTTTGTTTTCTCCTATAGCACGCCCTTCTAGCGGAAGTCCCCAGTAGTGCGCTGAGCGAGGTCCGTGCCCGTTTGGGCGCCCTTAGGCACGGTACTTGGTTTTACTTCTGTTTTAGTTTATTTTCGGGTTATGAGCCTTCATCTCGCCCATTCATCCGGTGGCGCAGCCAAGGTCAGCAGCGGCTAACTGCAAAGTGTCAACGTCAAAAGAAATTCTTTTAATTTCAGAACGTGTGTGTTGTTCCCTTGGGGGTACACGCCATTTAATGACACGTGTAACCCTGTCTTTTTTATGATAATATAATCTATTTCACCAATTCTATTATTGTAAACCAATAGGTTGTGTATCGGTTATGTGGACCAGGAGTGTCCAGTTCCGGTATGTACATTTCCTTTAGTTTGTCTAGCATGTCTCGGTGTAGATCGTGTACCCTAAGATGTCGCGGATCTTCGCCTAGCATGTCTCAGAACATTTCTGTAGAGATTGAACGGGGAAAGCCTCCCGCAGACGCAAGAGCCTAACTCGTTGTATGGTACATCTATGTACATTTCGATATTCAATAAACAAAAAAATTTGTAAAGATTTATTAATTCGCTTGGACCTTTGGTATTTATTATGATGATGAATCATTATTATTATTTAGTATTCGTAATAGACAAAACCTATTATAAAATCCACTTGTACGTGTTGCGTAAGATTGCCTCGCTTGTCATGTCGACACATCTCCAACGGTATACTTTCACTTTGTTTACGTAATTTTTATACTCATTACCAGCATTTACGGTTCGGCGACGGAGAATCGATATAATATCAAGTTTTTTAAATATCTATAAGCGTACGTTTCAGTGTAACGAAATTACAATTTTTTAAAGCTATTCCTTTATGCTTTAGATTTAAATTTAACCACTACTAAATAGAAAAAAAGTTGCGTTTTGTTAAAAAAAATTATACAAAAACTATTTTTTCCTGGGTACTACGTTTGAGATATTTTTTAATCTATGAATACGGACAGGTTTTATTACGTGCATATAAAGTCAGCTGCTCTATGCATTTTATTCGGGTAAGTTAATCTTCATCCTTAGAGTTGAGTGGCCGAACGGTTACCATGTTGGACTGCCACGCATAGATCCTGGGTTCGATTGCCAGGCCGAGAAAAATACGTATATCCGCCATTTATTTCTCTTGTTTCTTGAGTTTGAGTGGTAATTTGTTATCTATATGTGTGACCATGGCTCCTGCGACTCAGGGTTTCCCTAGCACGGGGCTATGAGTGTGTTGCGTTATTATTATATTATTATTACTTTAAATCATTGGTGTAAAGCCGAGCATTCTGTGTACATTTGTGTAACAATAGATTTAGTAATATTTTTCGTAGATTTGGAAAAGTGTGATTACTTAGATAGTTAAATGCTACTATGTTATGAAATTCTGGGACAACTACCAGAATACTAGATAAAATTCGATTTCCAAAAATACGTCCTTTTAAATTCAATTGAACTGGAATGGAACAACCTAGATTTCCTCTAAAATATTCAAGTTTTTTACCCACATAGCCTGTAGATAGCTATACCACATTACATTTACAATTATCAGTAAGTTTTTATGAGAGCGCAATACGAATATATCCCTTAAAAATTGTACGTAAACACAACTATCAATGTTTATTTCAAGTATTTTTACCAACATCATCCTTTAAAACCAGATAGATGTTTTATACCTACATACTAAATAAACAAGAAAAATTTCAACATTCTAATTGTCATAAAACTCTTAAAGGCCACGAGGGTATTTAATTTATTAATGCCGTTGTTAAATGAGCAATGACAGTAATTATTCATAAATATTCCACGACCACATCCGGACAGCGGAAATTTTTTGCTGCATACTTGTTATTCTAATTACACTATAGGTGTAGTAGACACATTATTTCGTATTATTTTTAATTACCTAAGTAATCAAAAAATAAAATAAAATTCAGTATCTCAATCATTACTTTTATAGTGGTTCAAGGCATTACTTTTATGTAAAAAAAATTGTGTAACTCTCCGTAAAGGATATTTGACCCTAAACCACTCCAAAACAGCTGAACAGTGTTTACCTCATTTAACAACGGTAGCAATAAATTAAACACCCTTGAGGCCTTTAATAGTTTTATGACAATTTCTTATTTATCTAGTATATAGATATAAAACATCTATCTGGTTTTAATGGATGACGTTTGTGAAAAACTTGAAATAAACATTGATAGTTGTGTTTATGTACAATTTTTAAGGGATATACTCGTATTGCGCACTCATAAAAACTTAGTGATAATTGTAAATGTAATGTGGTATAGCTACCTACAGGCTAAGTGGGTAAAAAACAACGTAGCAACGTTTGTACGGATTTACCATAGTAGTTATACTATGTTTGTGGTTTTGGTGTATTTATTCCAGCACTGCTAAAAGAGATTCTGTGTCCGCAAGTCTAATGACTTTCACCACTTCGAAAGCGTAGTTTTACAATCAAGTACATACATTACCAACAATCACCAATCAATTAACAAATTGCTAGTTCCCAGGTATACGTTACTGATTGTTACATACATTAAACACATCACGTACAAAGGTGATACGTTAACGACATTGAAAAACCAAAAGATGCTATTAGGAATTCATTCATATATATACGAGGTAATTAAGGCAATTAGGAAAATCCGTTATTTATAGGCAATTGCCTACGCAATTAAGTGAATATTCTCGCGAAAACGTGCCATAAAAACAAAGTTTGATCATGTTTTGAATGCTAACCACTGAAACTCTATGTCAATCCGTAGACATGATTTTAGAAAAATGATCGCGGTTTTCCACTTTACTGTTAATTATTATAAAAGAAAAATCAAAAAGAGTGCATATAAGCTACTTGTCAACCTTTTTCCTTGTGTCTTGCCGGTCCACCATATTGGATTTGTAAACGGAACAAACATTACTCGTAAATAACTAGGTTATGTAACAGTAATTTTTTTTACCGGTCCGCCATATTGAATTTTTAACGGGAAACAAACAATCCTGTTGTATTACTTAGTTTCGTAGCAAGAATAATTTTTCCTATCCTATTACTTACTAGTAATGTAACTTGGTAATATACGGGTAATAAGGGCAAATTTCGAAATTACATTGCCGTGGCACGAGCTTAATTCTTTGTCTTACCGCCTCTCAAGCAAAGGGTTGTGGTTTCGAATCCAGACTTGCATGCCTGCGTTTTCAGAATTTATGTGCGAAACTTAACTTGAAATTTACCACGAGCTTTTCGGTGAAGAAAAACATCGTGAAGAAATCTGCACATATCTGCGAAGCAACTTCATGGTGTATGTGAAGTTCCCAACCCGCATTGCGCCCGCGTTGGTACTATATTCCATTGTGAGAGGAGTGCAACGCCCAGCAATAATACTATGTAAAGACTATACAACTGCCTC